TGAATAACATCCCACCTGCAGAGAACAGGGGACTTTCTGAGAGCTGAAGGTGAAAACAAGTGTAGGAGACAGCACCACCACTAGTTCAGGTTCAGAACATCAGAGTTGGAAATGCTTTATCCCAAACACAGGCTGTGAGGGGTCCTGGGTCTACCCCAAAGTATTTACAACAGGACTGGGTCTCTTTCTCAAAGTGAGAGCATTAGGAAAGCCTTACATTGGGGTTTAGGCAGATCCTGCAATCACCCAAATGGGAAAAATTAACTTAAAATAAATAAATTTGGTTTTTGAGACAAGGTCTCACACTGTAGTCCAAGCTGACCTGGAACTTACTAGGTAGCATAAACTGGCCTTAAATTTATGGCAAATCTCCTGCATTAGCCTCCCATGTCTATGAGCTATCATGCCTGGGCCTAGTTTTTTCAATTTGTATTTGTGTACAACAGTGGTATAAATTAAAAAAAAAAGAAAAACAATTAAAAAGAGTAGACAGAGTGAAATGTCTTCCTTTTCTGGTTTTGCAAGCAAGCCCCTTCTCTTTCCTGGGAGCGTTAAGTGTATCAGATTCATGATTCTTCACAGATACAGGCAAATACACCTAGCTCTGCCTTCGTCCCTCTTTATAACACATATGCACAGGCCCTCATGTTTCCTAAGGGATATTTACTTACCTGAGAGTGGCTCCCTCGGTCTTAATCAATTCTCCATTTTTTATATAAACATATTGCTGTTCTCCATTTCCTATAATTTCTTCTTGGTGAGGAATCCGTGGGAGTTTTTTAATGCAATAGGTAGTGTTTAATCCTAAAACATGTAAATATGTTAAGTTACACTCCGAACGATTCAACTTTTGAAGAGCTCAGCGTCCACATAGGCAACACCCACTAATGGCTACATAAAACACTAGCATCAAGACAACAGGGAGACCGGAAGAATTAAAGCCACGTGTCTCTGAGATGAAACTACTTCATCTATTTCCAGAGTGTTTTATTCTCCCATGCCCCTGTGGGTCACATAAAAGCCTCTGTGATTTTTCTAGTCATTTCTATTCTGTGTAAAAATTTCAAAGTAGTTCTCCACAATCTCAGCTGGCATTTGACACCAGGGAGGGGGTGAGGAGATGCTTGGATGGAACGTGAGCACTTTTCTTTATCTAGGACCCACTTAACAGTAAAGGAGTCATCACAGTAGCTAATAAGACCGCCTGTGCTGTCAGTGCTAAAATGGGTCCCAGAATCTAAGACAGTAAACCTTTAAGATCAGTTTAACACACAGGACTCCTCACTGATAGAAACAAAAATCAATAGTTTACCAATCCACAGTGTCAATCATTTAACCAGGACAGTGAGTACAGTGAACGAAAGCACTTAACATCTGATAGAGTTGGGGGAATGAAGCTTTCATATGGAATGACGACCTATAGTGAATACTCCCGGAATCCTGAAGAGACAGCTCAGCTAAGAACAGCAACATGAGCGCAGACAATGAACATGCTATTAAGGAAGAATTTAGGACCAAGACAGAAGTTGAGATATGATTTAACAGGAGAAGTAGGATGGGTAAAGGTACAGGGAAAACTTGTAGGCAGGAGCACAGCCTAAGGAGAGGAAGCGAAGTGAGAGTGGGTGTGGTGTAGGTGTGACAATGTTACCATCTTGTCTAACTCCAACCACTGCTGGGAAGAGTAGAGAAAAGCTGTACAGGCCACATGAGCTCAGCGGGACAGGAGAGGGGAATGTAAACTTTGCCACAGTGGCCACTGTACAGTTTTTAATAAGGTAATGTGACAGTATTAACAGGCCAATATGGCAGCTGTAAACCCTGAAACTGGAGGGCAGGTTAACTGGAGCCTGGAGGGATGACTGCAACAGTGCAGCTGGAAGACACAAAGGTCAGGGCAGTGGTGCTGGAAATAGAAAGAGCCATGACATCTGTAAATTATTCTGTCCAGTTTTTGGTTTGTTGTGTTTTGGACAGGGTTGCTCTATGTAGCCCTGGCTGTCCTGGAACTTGCTCCATAGACCAGGCTGGCTTCAAACTCAAAGATCTGCCTGCCTCTGTCTCCAGGGTGCTGCAATTAAAGGCATGGTCCATACTTATTGTTTTGAATTTAAAGATTTATTTTGTTCTTATATGTGTGTATGTGTGTGTCTGTGTGCAGTGCCCATGTGAGCCAGAGATAGCCAGCCTCTGAGCCTCTGGAGTTGGACTTACAGGTGGTTATGAGCTGCCTGACATGTGTGCTGGGAACCGAACTTAGGTCCTCTGGAAGAGCAGGACACACTTTTAACCACTGAGCCAAATCTCCTGCCCTAAACTGATTTTTTTTTGGGGGGGGGGGGGCAGTCTGTCATCGGTTGCTTCAAATTTACTCTGATTTGCCAAAGAAATTATATAAATGGCATTTATATATTTTAGTATGGCCTATAAAATACATGTAGCTAAAAAAAAAAAAAAATACAGGTAGCCAGTACTGAAAACAACTTGACTATATCTGTTGTACCAGTAACTAAACAGTATAAAGCAATATGGAGCAGGGCAAACTACAGTACAACTGAAGGGAATAAGAATGTAGTGACTGGGGATTTAGAGAAGAAATAAGGAAATGATAATGCAAACTTTCTTGGTACCATTTCAATGCCAACCAACCTACATCGGCACACAGCCTGTGTAGCTTCAGTAAGGCCGAGTAGGGCAGACAAGACCTTTCTCAAGAAAACATTATACTGTTGGTAGCTATAAAAAGTTGTGTCAAATTTCCCTTCTACTTTTCTTTTTATCAACCTAATGGTAATTATTCAAATATTTGTTACTTTGTATAATTATGTAACAATATGTAACAACATGTAAAACTATTGTTCTCTTAGAGCAATCCCAAAGGTAATGTTCTACAATACTCTCAGGGTGTTTGTATTTTGACTGGGGTCCAGCATGGGATTTTTCAACTGTGGCATCAGGCTGGTGTATTTTGGATTAGGGATGTTCATTCTGTAGAATAAAAGCTCCCTGATAGCATACTTGGCTTTGTTCATATTACCTGACACATAGCAGGTACCCAAATGTTTGTTTAATGAATGTCTCAATCTAGGAATATGATGGTAGGATAAAGGAATTAATAGGTAAAATGTCAGTCAGAAAAAGTAGGTTTCAGGGAGAGAAAATGATCCATACACTGATATGTTGCCCAGATCTCCATATATCTTCGCAACTGTCTTATAGTTCTGTAAGGTCCAGATAATCTGCTGGGAATAGACAGTAAAAGCAACAACCTTACAGTGCCCATGGGAAGTGTTTGGTGCAGTATCTGCCACACAGTAAATGCATAATGGTTGTTAGTAAGTCTAAAACTGCAGTTGTCAACAGAGACTAAATTAAAGCTTAGCTTTATCACTGGGGGGCTGAAGAAGAGAGAAAGGATTTGAAAGAAAACCAAGCTTTCCATGACACCTACACTAAAATTGACAGTATTCAAGTCATATCAATTAAAAAACATAAACATCAACATAGTTAAAAGCTTAAATTATAAATTATCTTGAAAGCATAGCCTTTCTCAGCAAGCTTCATGTCTTCTGCTTACCATTACTGATGTTTTCACAAATATCTACTATGCCTCCAGCATGATCGCAGTGCCAATGAGTCACTAGGATTTCTTGGATTGCTGTGTCAAATTCAGCCAAGGCTTGCTTTAAGCAGCTGATATATTCTGGAACTGATGGCTCTCCAGTGTCAATGAGGATTCTCCTACAAATGCCAAGGAAGATAATCACAATCACAATTGGAACCTGGAGTTCATAGTAGCATAGTTTTTAAAAGATAACTTGCATTAAATTCAAGAAAATATACATTTTTTTTTGCTTTTAACATATTACTTCAGTTTAAAGTGACCTTACTGTACGGGAGTTCTTAGAAAGGAATTATAGCTAAATATAAATGTGAACCAGGGCTGTTAGAAGTGATCTCAAGTGCTTGTGTAGCAATTAAAGTAAACACAGGCCATTCCAACTGTATTCCTAAGGCAGGTCTTTCATCATTACATTCAGAAGTTAAATAACTTGCCTGCTGTTACTCTGCAATAAAATGGTAGACTCAGCATTCAAACTCAGGTTTTCTGATTCCAGAATATGTGTTCTTATCTACTCTGCCTTCCAGAAGGTTTATAAATTCTTCAAGTATCTCACAGAATTTGACTTAAACAGCACCCTTAGAGAAATGTGGTCTTCTCTGTGTATGAAAGGCTGCCGTTAGGATCATCCTGGCTTACTAAATTAGAGGCTGTAGATTCTCCTACAATGACGGCTCAATAGCACTGAGTAGTTAGCTAGGTTTCCAGTACCAGGCATGGTTTCCCTCTTGTTGAGCAGGTTTATATCCACAGATAAACACACCTCAACCCCCATTAAGGAAACATCTCTTTGCAACAGATGAAGACCACTACAAAAGTAACAAGCAATCAACATAGAGTTGTGGAGCCCAGTCCTTATGGATACATCTACAAAGCACTTCCACACCTAAAGCTCAGGGAATATTGTGGAAGAGGGGGCAGAAAGATTGTAAAAGCCAGAGGACCTGGGAGTTTGCTGTGAGATTACACCTCCTAGCAACATCAGAAGCTACACCCATACAGTCTCACCTGAATAACTCCCAAACATGGGTGAACAAGGGTGACACCAATAGACATGGCAAACTGGGTAGAGAGAAGCCCACCAGGCCTCAACCCTATATATGGGGAGTGAAGAAAGCTGGGAATGGGAGAGGTGGTCTTCCCCAGGGAAGAGAACATCAATCGGCTGTCCAGTGCCAAGCAGCCTGAAATCACAAGTATGTTTTACAAACTGAACAGGCTATATTAGGAATATGTGTGTGTATACATATATATTTGCTATAACACTTAGTGGGAAAAAAAGGTCATGAATTTGAAGGAGAGTGAGGAGGGGTACATGGAAAGGTTTAGGGGAGGGAAGGAAAGGGTGAAATGTAATAATAATGATAATAATAAGCAGAAGGAACAGAAACATAGTCTTTTGATAGAAAGAAGATGGCAAAACAGACAAATTGCACTCTCCTGTATCCCCACAAAAGAAAACACTGATCCATGATTGAAAAGTGAGATGCAAACTGTGGAAAGGTAAGAGGGTTACAGTAAACAGAAAGAAAAAAAAAACCAGACATCCAGAAATAACTGAATGTTAGCTTTACAAAGGAAACAATAGGCTCCAACTTAAGAGAACTGAATGAAGAACCTATCACTGGCTCTAAGGCTGCAAACAAGAGGAAACTAGACTGAAAATCTACAGGTGACCAGCAGACACTCCAAGGGACTTCTCATCTCTGGTGCCTCCTTTGCTCCTACTTTGAGATGAAGGATGGTACCTGTAAGTAGTTGGGCTTTTCTTTGGCCCACCAGCTCACAAAAAATGACACAGAAACTTATTATTAATTATGAAAGTTCTGCCTCAGCTTATGCTTGTTTCTAGCCAGCTCTTATAACTTAAATTAGCCCATATTTCAAAATCTACGTTCTTCCACATGCTCATTAACTCATCTCTATTATGCCCATCCTGGTTATCCCACATCTGGCTGTCAACTCTATCTTCTTCCTAGCATCCCCTCTGCCCAGAAATCCTGCCTAGCTATTGGCTGTTCAGCTTCTTATTAAACCATCACAGTAATATATCTTCACAGAGTGTAAAAAGATAATAGAGTATTTTCTCTAAATTTGCCAAATACAAATGGACTGGACATTGTAAATCTAATTCTTACCTGATAATTGTTCTTATTGTATATAGTTTTACTGTGTTAAAGTTAAAATCTTTTTTATTTAGACAAAAAGGGAGAAATGTTGTGGAATATTCCTTTACACTGTGTGAAGATGTGTCACTGTGATTTAATAAAAAGCTAAACGACCAATAGTTAGCAGGAGATATAGCAGGGACTTCTGGGCAGGGAGAGCTCTGGGAAGAAGAAAGATGGAGTTGCCAGCCAGACACAGAGGTAACAGACAGGCAGGAGGAGAGGTAAAAGCCACAAGTCACATGGCAACAAGTATATGAACAGAAATGGGTTAATTTCAGTTAAGTTCAGCTTTCATAATAAGTCTCCATATCGTTATTTGTGAACTGGCAGCCCAAAAGAAAATCCATTTACAGATACCTTTCATTGCTCTTCCAGGAGAAGCAGAAAATTTGGCACCACTGCATATCCCAAGCTCTAGAGGTACCACCAACCTCCATAAACTAAGATCAACCTCCATAAACCAAAGAAGATCAGGACCACCAAGCCAGCTCTGCAGAAAATACAAAAAGGAATCCTAAACATAGTGGAGCAAGTGGAGTTTCAGTGATGAAAGCACAGAAAAGAGATTTCATTAGTAGAACAGAATCCAATAAAATCCAACAAACAACAACAAAAAATTCAAAAAACCAAAACAACCCATCCATTATCTAGAAGAAATAGACACATTGTTACATATATCCCCAACAAAGAAATTTCAGCCTAGCAATGGACACATTAACTAACTAAATTCTACTAAGCCTTTAAAGTACAATTAAAGAAACAGCCAAATGAAAGAGAATAGCCAAGCTCACTCCAGAGATGGAAACACCCACAGTGGGCTGGGCCCTCACCTATCAATAACAGAAAATTTCTCAACCATGGTTCCCTCCTTTCAGATAACTCTAGTTTGTGCATCAAGTTGACATAAGACTAGCCAGCACAAACATTGTAATACACTTCCTTCGTGTTAATATTCTGTTGTTTTTAATAGACACTTTCATAGAGATTTCACTAAATCCTCAGAATATTCCTAAGAGGTAGGTACTATAAAATCTACTGTATGGATAAAGAACATACTAGTTAGCTAGCTATCTCCTTCCAATCTCACAGCTAACAAACAGCCAGGACACTAAAGTAGGTAAAGGTTAGTTGACCATGGAGTGTCCAACCCTAGCTGATAAATCTACAATACAAACCCTACACAGAGACTCAGGGAACACTGTGTGGGGGGGGGGGGGGGGAGGTTGTAAAAGCAAGAGAAATAGGATGTCTGCTGCAAGATAGTGTTTTCTATATATGACAGGGAAGCTGCACTCATGAAATTTCAACAATATGATCATCCAAACAAGACCTGAAAAATGACACCAGTTGATATGCTAACGTGGATGGGGGAAATCCCACAATGCCTCACTCCTAGAAAGAGAGCTATAGGCAATTAATGGTTGAGAGGGAGAATCATTCTTTTCCAGGGAAAGGCTCTCTGGTATGTGATGCAGTTCTAAGTGGTCAGCCCTAAACACATACACATATGAACAATGCTAAAAGTTCCCGGTAAGTTATAGTTATATATGTATATATGTAACAATAATAATTAAATAAGAGGCCACGAATCTGAGAAAGGAGGGGCACAGGAGAAGTGGGAAGGAGGGAGGAGGGAGAAATTTATGTAAATATAGTACATATATATGAGATACTCAAAATATAATATCCACTCCGAAATTATTCTAAACTCCATGGCCTTTTTCTATTATAATATACAAAGTCTGTCCTCAAAGTATGTACAATTATGATAGGAAAGATTAGAATTTCAGCTATAAGAGGTTCTTGAACAGAAGAAGAATGTTTATTGAGTACCTGCATATTAAATATCAAAGTAGGTCTACTAGGAATGCAGTGAACTGTGATATCTAAATTGATCAAAACAAGGGAGGATGAAGAGCTAAAGTTGTCAGTATTTCAAGAATAAAAAAAAGAGGCAAAATTAAGAGAGAAATGTTAGCAATACTCAGCAAGTATTCATTATACTCCCTCTGCTGTACAAGACTTTGTGCTGGAGGTACAGAAATAAATCCTGGCTGAGCTTATGTTACAATGGAATGACTACATAGAAAAGAAAGAAAGTTAACCACAGCCTGCAGGGAGCAATGTGGCTCATCTGGGAAGGCCAGAATGGCTGGACCAGAGCCATGTAAGATGGACAAGATAGCTACATTTGGGAGAATGGACTGAGGGACAAAAGTTGAGGCAGAGCATCCAGTCAGAGGCTAATAGAGATGCCTACAGAATTGAATTGGTTGATAGTAGTCACAGATTTCCAAGATGGCTTGGATGTGCTCCAGGAGGAGGGAAATGTTAGTGAGAGTGTTTAGGCATTTTGTTTGATCAGATACATGGATAGTTCTGTTTACCACAACAGGGACCACCAATTCAGGAGGGTCTGGGCTTAACTTTAACAGGAAAGTAGAGTTCAGTTTGAAAAACTGATAATGCAGGAGACTGACGAATGCATCCAGCTATGAGCCTGATGAAGCTGGGTTTCTGTTTAAATGTGTTATTAGTAAGCAGATAATAGGTAACAAAAGGAAGCAGGTAAGGTCACCTGAACAATAGTGTACAAATATGAGTGGTGTACAAGTTACTTTTTTCATTGCTGTGACACAATGTCCAACAAAAGTGATTGAAGGAAGGGTTTATTTTGATTCAGTTTGAGGACACAGGCCATTATGGAAGAGAAAGTGTGAAGGCAAGAGCCATTCTAGCTCTGGCAGCAGAAGTGACAGCTGGTCATATTTTGTGCCTAGTCAGAGACACAGAGAGAGAGAGATTTAGTGGAATACTTGGTGATCTACTTGTTTTCTCTTTTTAAATTGAGTACTTGGTATGTTTCCTATTCAGGGTAGGGCTTGCTACCTTAGTTAAACCTTTCCTGAAATTCCTTCCCAAAAGTTTGTATTCTAGGTGATTCTAAA